GACAGGGCAGATTCGGGTGATGCGGTTTTGCAGTAGCATGGAGAGCAGGATGGGCACAAGTAGGAAACTGGAGCTGTAACATAGGAGGAGCCAGGCAACCCCAAACACAGGGAGAGAATGATCACTTCCACGGCCACTTGGAGGGGAAACCAAAGTCCTCAGAGCCCTCGCAAGGCCCAGCACAGTCAGGCCTCCTGGAGGCCTCTGCTTGCACACTGGGCTCTCTGGGGTTGTCTTCGGCAAGTTAGAGTGACCAGGCTTGCTTCCACTTTGCATGAGTGCTTCTCCCACGAGAACTGACAGGGATTACCTCCCTCACCTCTGGGCTTCAACCTCACCTTTCCCTGTATACCTCCTTCATTGCTCCTGAGGCAATGAAGCCTGCCTCCCCTCCCCTAGGCTGTGGCTTTCCCTTCTCTGGCTGGACTTCTTGTGGACATAGCACTTCTCTTCCGACATACCACATGCTTTGCTATTGACTATGCTCATTGTTTACCACTGTCTCCCCACCAGAACGTCGGCTCCCAAAGGCAAGGTACATTCTGTCATTTCCGTTTTGCTCTCTGATGTAGCCCAAATGTCCAAGATGAGGCCCTCCACAAGGTGTGCGCTCACTACATGTTTGTTGGCAGATGAATGACCAAACGTCTCTACAATGTTCTGTAAGAGACTTCAACTCTGTATGAGAAATAAGAAGCAGAAGGGGAAAAGCAGCTGGAAAGAGAATCCGAGCTTGTGTTCTTGTTGTAGATTGCCTGTTTTAGGTGTTTGCCTGTCACTCCAATCTGTGGTGTGAACATTTCTTTCTGTTTTGAATTTTTAAGAAAGGAGGTTGAGATGAGGGCAGTGGTGTAGAAAGCTACAAATATGTGTGTGACTCCTTTGGAATAAAAAGAACTTCTTGTGAATTCCTGTCCTCTTCCCCCCATACATTTTGCTTTATTGCGTTTTACTTCTTTCTCGTCTGACTTCTAGAGTCAGCCATGGAAACAGGGACCACGGGTCCTAATGCAGACCCTTGGCTGGAGTGTGCTATGCTCCTGTTGTTCGCATTCTGGGATTAGTGCTTCTTGATTTGTTCTTCCTGTCAGGGTACCCATCACTCACACCCTGATGTGCCCCCGAGGCTGGACTGCGCCCTAGTTCCAGATGCTCAGCAGTTCCGTGATCAGGAGCACTTGGCCCCGGTCTGTTCCCTGGCTTCCTCTGCTCAGCCTCCTGGGCCTCCCCTTCTTGCTTCCAGCTTCCTGGCTGTGACAGTACATTCATTGCACTTCCACAGGTTGACTTCCTTCGTTCTTGCTGGGCTGAGGCCCTTCTGCAAGGGCCTGCAAAGACATCCTTACCAGCATTCTCAACGATCTAGCCTCCCCAGGAGCAGTAGGCTGCACCATATTGTCTAGGTGTGCAGCAGAGTGTACCATCTCTGTTTATGTAAAACATAGTTCCCACAAGGACAAAATTATCCAACAATGCATTTCTCAGAACATATTGCTGATGCTAAGAGGTCCATGACTGTATTTGTGTCTTCTTCAATTTCTATTATCAATGTTTGATAGTCTTCCATTTATAGGTCTTTAACCTCCTTGGTTAGATTTATTTCTAAATATTATTTGTAGCTAGTATGAATGAGATTTCTAAAATTTCTTTTTCAAATAGTTCATTGTGAGTGTATAGACAATACTCTGATTTTCTTGTGTTGATTTTGTATTTTGAAACTTTACTGAATTAAATCTTTCTAACAGTTTTTTGGTTGAGTCTTTAGGGTTTTCTCTGTATAAGATTATGTCATCTGCAAACAGGCAAATTTGTTTTGCGTCTTCCTTTCCAATTTTGATGTATTGATCTCTTTTTCTTGTCTAATTTCTCTGTCTAGGACTTCCTGTATCACAATGAATAGACGTGTCAAGAGTAGGCATCCTGGTCTTGTTTCTGGTCTTAGAAGAAAAGCTTTAAATTCTCATTTTTGAGTATGATATTAGCTGTGGATGTGTTATATATGGCCTTTATTGTGTTGAAGTCCATTTCTTCTATGCCTAATTTGTTGACAATTTTTACCATGAAGGGTGTTGAATTTTGTCAGAGTTTTTCTGCATCTTTTGAGACGATCATATGGCTTTTGTTCTTCATTCCGTTAATGTGGTGTATCACATTAATAGCTATAGGTATGCTGAACCATTCTTGTGTCCCTGGGATAAAGCCCACTTGATCATGGTGAAGAAGCCTTTTAATGCATTGTTGAGTTGGATTCGTTCATATTTTGTTGAGGACTTTTGCATCTATGTTCATCAAGGACACTGGCCTGTAATTTTCTTTCTTTGTATTATCCTTGTCTGGTTTTGGTATCAGGGTTATAATGACCCCATAGGATGAGTACAGAAGTATTCTCTTTTCTTTAATTTTCTTGGAAGAATTTCAGATGAATTGGTATTATTTCTCTTTAAATGTTTGATAGAATTCATCAGGTCCTGGGATTTTATTTATTTATTCATTTATTATTGAGGGGAGGCTTTTAATCACTAATTCCAATCTCCTTACTTTTTACTGGTCTGCTTAGATTTTTTATTTCTTCATGATTCCGTCATGGTAGGTTGCATATTGCTCGGAATTTATTCATTTCTTCTAGGTTATCCAGTTTATTGGTGTATAGTTGTTTATAGGAATCTCATAATTATTCATGTGATATCAATGGTAATATCTCCTTTTTCATTTCTGATGTTAATTTTTTGCATCTCCTCTCTTTTCTTCTGAGTTTAAGGTTTGTGGATTTTATTTCTTTTCTAAAAACCAACTGTAGTATTGTTGGCCTTTTCTATTGGTTTTCTAGTGTCTATTTTATTTGTTTCTGCTCTGATCTTCATTATTTATTTACTTCTACCAACTTTGGGCTTAGTTGCCTTTTCTTTTTCTACTTCCTTGAGGTGTAATGTTAGGTTGTTTGAGATCTTTCTTATTTTTCATGTAAGCATTTATTGCTATAAGCTTTTCTCTTAGAACTACTTTTGCTCTATTCCATAAGTTTTGGGATGTTGTATGTCTAATTTTGCTAATCCCAAGCTACTTTCTAATTTCCCTTTTACTATCTTACTTTCTTCTTTGACTCATTGACTGTTTAGGAGCATGTTTAATTTCCACATATTTGTTTAATTTCCACATATTTGCAAATTTTCTGAAAATTTTCTTGTTTTTGATTTCTAGTTTCATACCATTGTGGTTGGAAAAGACACTTGATATGATTTCAGTCTTTTAAAAATTGTTGACACTTCTTTTGTGACCTAACATATGTGCTATTCTGAGAGTCATCCATTGCGCTTAAGAAGAATGTGCATTCTGCTGCTGTTGGATAGAATGTTCTGTATATGTCTCTTAAGTTCATTTGGTCTAAAATGTAGTTTAAGTCTGATATTTTCGTATGAATTTTCTGTCTGGATGCTCTGTCCATTTCTAAAAATGGGTATTAAAGTTCCTACTATTATTACATTATAGTCTGTATTTGTTATATCCATTGATATTTGCTTTGTATATATAGATGTTCCAATGTTGAGTGCATATATATTTACAACCATTACAATTGATCCCTTTATCACCATATATTGACCTTCTTTATCTCATTTTACAGTTCTTAAAGTCTATTTTATCTGATATAAGCCTAACTATCTCTGCTGTCTTTTGGTTTTCATTTGCATGGAATATCTTTTTCCATTCTTCCACCTTCAGTCTCTATGTATTCTTAAATATGAAGTCAGTTCCTTGCAGGCAGCATATACGTGGGTCTTTTTAAAAATTCATTCATTCATGCTATGTCTTTTGATTGGAGAATTTAATCTATTTACATACAAGGCAATTTTTTTTCTTAAAGAAAGTATGCTTACATTTGTCTTTTACTGCTAGATTTCCCCATTGACCTAATAGGACCTAATGGAAAAAAAAAAAGTTCTTTTTTATTTTTATATATTTAGTTGGTACAAGTTCAATTTTGTTACGTAGATATATTGCCTAGTAGTGAAGTCTGGGCTTTTGGTGTAACCATTACCTGAATAGTATACATTGTATTTAGGTAATTGTTGGTAGTTAAGGACTTACTACTGTCATTTCATTTATTGGTTTTTGATTGTTTTGTACTTCAGTTTGTTCATTTTCTTTTTCTCATTTACTGTCTTCCTTTGTGATTTGGTGATTTTCTCTAGTGGTATGCTTTGATTTTGTACTTTTTGTCTTTTTTTGTATCTACTATAGGTTTTTATGTTTACCATGAGGCTTACATAAAGCATTTTATAGTAGAACAGAGTATTTTAAGTGGATAACAACTTAACCTCAATCGCATATAAAAAGTCTGCACTAGGCTGGGCCTGGTTGTGCTCGCCTGTAATCCCAGCAATTTGGGAGGCAGATTACTTGAGGTCAGGCGTTTCAGACCAGCCTGGCCAACATGTTGAAACCCCATCTCTACTAAAAATACAAAAATTAGCCTGGTGTGGTTGCATGTGCCTGTAATCCCAACCAGTTGGGAGGCTGAGGTAGGAGAATCACTTGAATCCAGGAGGTGGAGGCTGCAGTGAGCCAAGATTGTGCCACTGTACTCCAGCCTGGACAACAGGGTAATATTCTGTTTAAAAAAAAAAAGTCTGCACTTTTATAATCCATCCCCAGTGACATTTTATGTGTTTGGTGTCACAATTTACATCTTTTTGTACTATGTATACCTTAAATTATTGTAGCTATTATTATTTTAAATAATTTTGTCTTTTACCTTCTTCATATTTCTTGGTTAGATTTTAAGACCAGTGATGATGTATTTTAATTATCTGTTTCTCATCTTGCCCAACATAGTGAGGAACATAGAATAAATACTCAGTTTATTACTTTGTAATTGACATGTCTATTTAGGAACTAACACTGATCCAGTGACATCTGATACCATCTTTTGTTATGCACCCCTGGTTTTGTCAACCTGCCTTTGTTAATGACCTTCTCATTCTCTTCTCTGTTTTCATCCACAGCATGTGCATTCCGATACAATGGTCTCTCCTTTGTCTACCTTATCTACCTCTTGCTCATTCCTCTGTTCTCAGAACCAACAAAAACAACGATGCAAGGTAAGAGACTTTTGCTATTCTATACCACAGAGTTATATGCAGTCTGAATGTATTTTGCTGGGCTCCTTGGAATTGTCATTATCTAATGGCAGAGATGGTATCTATCCAGCAGGGCTAGTACGGCATGGAGTGGATGTCAAACATTTTAACAATTACACTAAGTAGAGCTGTATAGAAGTTGTTTGTGATGCATGTTTTTGTCACTTACAGTTAATAAATTCCCTGTTAGGACTTCATAGTAAACATGGCAGTATCACTGGAATGTTTTGGCTAGTTAACACTAACTCAAAGTATTGTCAATAAGATAAGACAAACGGGATGAAAACATTGGCACATGCATTTGTCTGTTGGGTTGTGGAGAGAATATGGCGGCAATTGGAAGAGGCAGAGCAGTATTTGACATTTGTGAGCCACTTACCAGGAGAATGACAGGTGAGCCCTGGTTCCAGCCGTAACTTCCTACATTAGTTAAAGTTTGTTGAGTAAGTCTCAATAACATAATGAAAGAGAATAATTTGATTTGGAGGTATAGTTCCTCAGGTGTGTTTCCGCAACACTTTAGATCCTATTCTGGTTACTCTATAAGAACCTCAAGGCATAGAATACAGAGTAGTGATTATAATTTTTAAGGTTCTAATTAGGAAACATGTTCTGGCTTGTGAATTTTTCAACTTGAAGTTTTTCACAAGTATTAAAATTAAATGATAGTGAGTTAATTTAATAAATTGTTGTTCTTCAGAACACCACCGTTACGAGAAGTATGGCCTGTGCCAAATGCTTAGGTGAGTGCAATGGCCATATGTTTACAAGAAAGGAAAAGGAAGTTGTTTGACCCTATCTCTGGGTGGTGTGGGAAAGGTCATTAGTGATTTCCTCGTTAGTGATGAACTCTTTAGAAAAAGAAGTAAAAACCACAGTGTACACAGAACAACAAATAATGACTTAATTTTTCCCATTCTCCCTGATTCTCTGTAAAATTCATAAGACATATTATGATCATTCATCATAGTAGTTAGGACTGCAGATACCATGTTGATTTTCATGTCTCTGGACAACAGTATTTCTAAGTCACCTAAATCCTTAATACACAATGTATATAAAGGGTAGAGAAATGTGAGTTTATGCAAATCCTTATAAAACAAACATACATTGTTAATTGTACCCCACCCACCACAGCCTCATTCCTAAAGGATTCAGCATAAACAGAATAGTTTCTGGCCTAAAACAAGAGATAGCATACAGGCAACGACTATTCGATGGTTTGGAACTCCTTTTTCAAAGAAAGAGGGTTGTGTGTGTATTCACAATAAGGTGCTTTAAAGGTGAGTATCTTTATATATCCAGTTAAGTTGTCTATCACTTTTACATCAATGTGGCTCTTTATTGTTTTACTTGGAAATCAAGTAACTGGGATTTTCCCCTATATACTTCTGTGATGACCCCTGACTTTTTCTTTTCCCGAACTAACCAGCCCTGAGTATGCAACAGTGTTAGACATGGCAAACAGTTTACAGTTTATGGACACTAGTTCATTCCGAGGTATGCCAGGGACTGACATTATCAGGGAGAATGCAGGTGAAACATAAAATCAAAAGAAAAAATGAATCCTCTCTGCATAAGGAAATATCATGAAGTAATAAAATGTTACAAGATCAGTACACGAATAGGTGCACAGGTGTCTGCTGGCCTGCTCATGATAAGAAAGGAGGGAGGGAGTTGGAAAAGGAAATCCACACACATCCTTCCAGTAAGCATCTGAAAGCAACATTCAGATGACTTATTTTCTCTTTCTCCATTTTAGCGCCAAGAACCATGACTGACATGCAACATAACCTCATTTATGTGTTTGTTTATATAATTGCAAAGGGACTCCAAGTAAGGATATCATATTTTTTTCTGAACACACAGGACTCAGAATCCATGCATCTCTAAATATGTGTTTTAAGACATCTTATGTTAGATGAAGCTTGTCCAACCCATGGCCCATGGGCCACGTGTGGCCCAGGACAGTTTTGATTGTGGCCCAACACACATTTGCAAAATTTCTTAAAACATTATGAAATTTATGGGAGGACTTTTTTTTTTTTTTTTCCTCATCAGCTATCAGTAGTGTTAGTTTATGTTATGTGTGGCCCAAGACAATTCTTTTTCCAATGTGGTCAGAAAAGTTAAAAGATTAGATACCCTGGGTTAGACATTACTTGTGGTGCAAGGTCCTATGTGGAGTCAATGTATGTGAGTGATGGATCTGGAATAGTGAATAAAGCATGGCTTTCTAGGGAAACTCAGGTTCAAACATACTCAGAATTTCCAGCGTGTGTTAATACACATTTCTATAAATTGTAGGAAAGTACATTGGCAAACTGAAGGGACTGTCAGCAAATCCTGCCCTCCCTGCTTTCAGACAGCCTGCACCTGAAACAATAAGTTTGAATTAGCCTTAGGAGCCTGTTAGGCCGCCACATATTGCTGGCAGACCCCACCTGAACTGGAATGAGATTCATACATGTAAGCATGGCTCCATGGCCCACTGCCCTCCATTTGGTCTGATGAGGTTTTTTTCTTGTGTGACTATTTTTCCAACGTGTATATCCATACAGGTAGGTGCCCAGGATGTGGAGAATATTAGTGTCATAACTTGGAAGGCAGTACTTTGCTATCATTCTTGGGGTAGTCTTAAACATAAAATTCCAGTCTCTCCACTGTTCTGTAGACCAGAGTTGTCTACTGTTTTGCTCTCAGTGCCATCAATAGGACAAAGAATATCTGAGTATGATTTGGTGCTTTCCCATGCCTATATTTAAGCCGAAGATTTGTTGCAAAGCCTTATACACTACTGTGCTGTAGAAGAAGGAAGGTGATCAGCAGTCAGTTATATGATGAAATGTGAAAGAATTTTGTTTTTAAAAATTAGGGTGATGAAAAATGCTTAGAGGCTCAGTACATTTAACTCCTGGATATTATCTGATTAGTGAGAGCTGTAACTTGTAGAATCATGGATTTCTAAAGTTGGAACAGCTTTTGGGAGTTATCAAGCCTATTCTAGTAACCAGTGGTAGAATATTCTATAATAGCCACATTGGGGGAGTCACATGGTTTCTTCTTAGATGCTAATGGTGCCAGGGAGCTACCTGTGGCCCTAAGAAGTCTATAGCATTATCAGACAGTTGAATACTGTCTGAAATCCACCTGATTTGAATCAGCCTGAAATCTACCTCCCTGCAAATCCAAGCTATTGTTTTCAACTTTAAACAACAAAGAAAGAATTAACAGAGAACCAGAAAATCACTTTATAACACTGTTGTGAAGGAACAGTATCAAAAGATTGGGATTCGACTAAACAACTTCCTGTTTTTAGAAATCTAGGTTTTTATAATTCTTGATTTGCTATTTCAGATCTTGACGTGTATAATTATCTCAGTAGGTAAGGCCCCAACAAGAAATCAGGAATCACTCTAGGCATTTTAAAAAGAGAACATTAGAGAGGATTGGTTACTGAAGGGGATGGAAGAGCCAGGAAGCCAAAAGAAATGTTGAAATGACTGGAACATCAGCAAGGCAGGACAGGCATGGGCATGAGCAGAGCTCAAGAAGGAGGGCCATCCAGGAGCGCTCGACCCTCAGGAGAAGGTCCAGAAATGGCTCTATGTGCAACCAGCCCTTGCCTGGGCCTCTTCCCTGTCAGCTGTGTCCATCAGCTGTGTTCATCCCAAGCTAGTCATCAAGCACCCATTACTTATCTAATGTCCTTTGCCTTCAGTCTTCATTCAATGCACAGGATATTCCTAGTTACTAGTGGATGGGATTTCTGGACTGTCTGATAGTGGTTACTGTTGAAACCAATTGAAAAGGGCTCTACACTTTGGACAATTTCAGAATCAAAAACTAAGAGCTTTTTATTTGATGCATAACTGAAGGAGGCACCTATCCCAGATGTGTGGGTGGGACCTCCCATGGACACCTGGAAAGGCTGATGGACACAGCTGACAGCGAAGAAGCCCAGGCAAGGCCTGGTTGCACATAGAGCCATTTCTGGACCTTCTCCTGAGGGTCGAGCGCTCCTGGATGGCCCTCGTTCTTGAGCTCTGCTCATGCCCCTGCCTGTCCTGCCTTGCTGATGTTCCAGTGGCTTCAACATTCCTTTTGGCTTCCTGGCTCTTCCATCCCCTTCAGTAACCAGTCCTCTCTGTTTAATGTTCTCTTTTTAAAATGCTTAGAGTGATTCCTGATTTCTTGTTGATATCTTAACCTACTGAGATAATGGCACACGTCAAGATCTAAAACAGCAAATCAAGAATTCTACAAGCCCAGATTTCTAAAAACTTAGTTCCATCCACACTGACTTCCTCTCAAGGCTCTTCTCTCTGTCAGAATCTCTTCTGAAGAGCTGTGCACAGTGTATGCTGTGGTGTGAGTTGCGAATTCCCTTTCGGGACTGAGCCTCCCATTCTAGCAGCTGGAAGGTGCTTCTTTGACCGCTCTCTGCAAAATCCCTCCCTAGAAATTGGTGGTGGCTGAAGGGTGCTGCTTTTTTTTTTTTTTTTTTTTTAAATAAGAGATGGGGTTTCACCATGTTGGCCAGGATGGTCTCAAACTGCTGACCTCAGGTGATCTACCCACCTGAACCTCCCAAAGTGCTAGGATTATAGGCATGAGCCACCATGCCAAGCCAGGGAGCTGCTTTATACAAACTTCACCTCACTAGCCATAGGCAGCCTGGACCCAATGACTGCTCAACACAGAGTGCCGAAACCTCAAAGTTGGAAAGTCTCTGAAAGGCTGTGGCAGCTTCAGAGCATCCCAGCAGCTAAGGCCCCACTGCAAGAGCGTGACAATCTGATCTGTCCCTCTGTGGGGTCCAGATTTCCTCACTCCCTGCAAGATATCCCTGCAAGGAAACTGCCCCATAATCCCCATTCCCCAGGAATCCACCTCAGCTTCTGTTGCTGGGAAACCAGATCTCAGAAGGTCTTTGAAGCAGAGACCTCAGTCCCTGATGG